GAAAATTTTCTCAATACATACAACTCTATCAATTTCTAACGAATTTTAATCATCCTTTTTTTATTTTGTTCGTTATGCTTTAAATTCTTTTATGAAGTTTTCAGACTTTTTATTATTATGTGGGATATTTATGGGACAAAAAAAAGTCTTGGGAACCAATATTTTTAAACGATTTTAAGAATTTACATATCACCCAAAAACTATATTTTATTAGATTATAAATATTAATGAAAATATGCAATTTCGAACATTTGAAATGCAGTTACTTAGGACAAAAAGCCATGTTTTCTCACTAGTTTTCGAGTATTTTTGTGTAAAACACGCAGAAATGTCGCGGAAATTTACATGATCTACATCTTGTCCGGATACTTTTGGCAGGTGAGTGTATTTTTATTATTATTAATTCTTTAATAACGTGTATAATTATTATCATCTGAATTCATGTTACGTCCCATCTATTTTAACTTTGTTTAGTAGAGATTAATGACAATTATCCCAGACTGGGCGAAATCTCCCAAGTATAAAGTGGGCAGATTTGCTCAATCTGGGTGAAAACACCCAAACCGGGCTATTATGTAAAGAACATGTATATAAAGAACTTGATTTCGATCTAATGTGAAAGTAATTTGGTAATAAGTTAATTAGTTACGACTAAATAAAACTAAATAAATAAAATAGAAATATTTTATTTAAAACTTTTATCTTCTTTAACCAAAATTATTCGCTAATACCAAAATCAATTCATTGATCCCCTATTCATTCTGATCCACGCAAAACAAAAATAATTGTTATCACCAATTAAAACACGCTCTCCCAAATTTAATCGGTGACAATAGTAATGACAGTTGGCAATGATGAACAAGGTAAAAGGTTTGATATTTCTCTTTTGAAAGAAAGCAAAAAAGAAAATAGTAAATGATATAAACTTTAAAGGCTTATTGTTACAGTTTAGCAGTAAGGATCTGTCTGAGCCAATTATTGTTTATTATCATTATGAGTAAATTAATAAATAAAAAACAGAAAAGTGTTTTACTGAAAATATGACCATTTGATTTAAATGTCATAATCAATTTTTTATTTCTGATATATATAAACATGGTTCTTGTAGAAAAATTCCTGATATACACTCACTAGACAAAACTCAGGCGCATTTTTAAACAAAAATTGCGCAAAAACGTACACAATAAAAACACAAGTAACTTATATCATTTTGTAGCTTAGGTTCTCAAAATTCTGCATGCAAAATTTAAAATTTCTGTCTTGCCTAGGAAAATAACAATTAAAAAAATAAAAAATCCGACCAAAATTTTTTCCAAAAATATTTCTGACAAAAAAAAATTTAATTGAACAAAAACGTATTTATTAACCAAGCTCAAGTTTTCGGCATGTGACAACAAATGTTTTGAATAATTATCTATGTTGTTTTGAATTTTTTTGTAAACAAACATCATTTTGAATAAATTTTTGAACAATTCCTTTGAAAAATTTTAAACTCAAAATGTAACCCTTATGTGAAAGTCAATGTGGTGAAATCATTGGTCTATATAAAAATAATGTATCAAACCACAAAATAACTAAAATTGTTGGTGTTCATAGGAAAACAGTGACTTGTACTATTCAAAATTACGTTGATAGAAAAGTTCTTGTTACAAAAAATTGAAGTGGCCATCCATGATGTCCTAATTAAATTGATTGAGAGTATGCCAAGGAGAGTTGAAGCAGTCATTGAAAATAATGAATGGCCAACAAGATATTATTATTATTATTACTTTGTTTATCAAATTTTAAATTTTTGGGTATGATTATTATGTGCATTTTTCAACAATCATTTTTTGAAGAAGAAAAAAAAATAGTCAATTTTGGTGATCCTGATTTGTCAAAAAAATTTTGGTCGAAATTTTATTTTTTTGATCATTAGTTTAATAAAAATGTTAAAGATGTGAAATTTTGCATATATAATTTGGTGAACCTAAGTTGCAAAAAAATGTTTTTTATTTAATTATTATTAAGTATGTTTTTGCGCAATTTTTGTTTAAAAATGCGCCTGAGTTTTGTCTAGTGTGTACGTCATGTGAAATTGAACTTATTTGTTTATTTATGTAACATACCTTTAAAAATATTTTCTAAAATAAAAATTCAATTTTTTACACACAACAAAATCAAAAAAATTTATTATTCTTTTGAAATAAAAATTAATCTTTTATAACAATAATCTCAAAAAATGTCTAGAAATTTATACAAAATTATTGAATCCCAATCAATAAATTTTTACCTGTGGGAAAAAACTATGATGTAATTATTTAATTAAAAAGTTTTTTATTTTATATATTTATTAATTAAATATATTTATTAATTAAAATATATTTATATCAAGGTTGAATTAAATGGTTCTATAGAAATCAGAAAGAATTTGTGGTCACAAAAAGCTGTTAAACTCTGTGAAAATCCAAAATGGCTAGATATACATCCAATACCAAATGATTTGAATTTAGAAGATAATACAAATTATATACTTTATAATTTAAGTGAATTAAAAGATTTTATTAAATTTTTAAATATAGATGATAATAATAATAATATAGAAAGGAAAATGGGTTAAATTTTTTTTTGGGATAATCCACCCACATACACACCTTCTAAATTATATTTAGAAGCAATTAAAATAATAAATAAATATAATAGAAAAAAAAATGAAATGTTAAGCAATAATAATAATATAGATCTTTATGATAAAATTTATATTAAAAAGATTGGAAAATAAATTGAAAAGTATAATGATAGTTTAGGATACTTTTGGATAAAATTAGCTAAAAACTTAGGGTTTAAGATTGACAACAATTTACCATCTAATAAATTAAAGAAAGCATGAATATCATTTGCTGCTAGTTATTTGAAACATGAAAAGAATAAAAGCTCTTATGTGATTAAGGAAGAAGAAAAAAAGGTTGATAGGTTAATTACAATGCAATATACAAGGATAAATGGTAAACCTTATTTTAAAAAAGCTTTTTTTTTTCAAACCAATTATTAATATTTATTTTATTTCTTAGGTGAGACACATTACTCCAATAATAAAAGAGAAACATTGATAAGAGTTTTTGATGTTCTTGAATCTGATTTAAAAATTTTAAATCAAACAGAGTTTTCAGTTCATAAATATTATATGGATTTAAAAGTAATGCAAAGCATCCATCAAATTATTTTAAAGAAAATAATGCAGAACTTTTTGGTATTTTTGGTAGTTATGCAACACTACCATATAATTCTGATTCTTATTTATGCAACCAACGAATCCAACATAAAAAGTAAGTTTAAACTCTATAAATTATATGCAATTAAATATTTTTAATCATTAATACTTATAAAATAATTCATAATAGATGTGTTGATGAGTTGATGAATGGGATCACACCTCCTGCAGTGTTGGAAATTCAGGGTGCGCAGGGTGCGCGCGCAGCATGTTACACCAAAATTGTGAAACATTTTATGTGCA